GCGTTTTTTGGGTGTTTGGTTATCTTTGTTATTCTTGTGTTTAACTGAATGTCAAAAAACTGTTGTAGTTTCCGTGATTATCGCCAATGCAACCAAAGTAAGGACGTCTTTAGTGGGGCAGCAGTTGGTGCATTTATCTTAGAGGTTCGGGAAAGAAACCGAGTTGTTTGCTTTGAATCGATTCGTATGCAGATAATGACTCGGCCAACGTTTGCGTACCACAAATAATTTACATTGCATAAATTTAGAAAAGCCGTCCACAACTTTATCCTTAGTTACACATTACACCCTCTATTTTTAAACCCCAGAATTTGCACCTTAAGATTTCAAGGAATTTCTACTTTGCACCCGCTAGTTTGTGTAGATTTTCTAACCTTTTCCCCATTGGTGTTAGACTCCAACATACGAATTGTAGGTCTTCAGGGTGCAAAATGCGGGATTTTGAAACTAGAGGTGCAAATTGTTGGTAAGGGAAAGTTTAAGGTGATATTTGTAATTGTTGCAAGTCCCAGGACTTATCATGACTAAGTAATGAGTTGCTGTCCAGTGTACAACCAATCTTTATGATTTCATCAATAGCCGCCTATGAGCAAGGGTCTGAAAGTGAGAATGGACCAATGACCCTGTGCCCTTTATATTCCCTTTTCTCTTTCGGTTGATTTTGGGCTTGGAAACCACACCAGAAAATGTTTGTGAGGTTAGTTTGACGCTGTCACTTCTAAATAGGAATCGGTTTCGTAGCTGAGGTGTTCGTAGGTATCAGTTCGCTGCTCTAGTTTAAGAACAGTATGCAGAATCTCATTGTAATTATGGACCTGAATGCCACTCAATGGGATTAAAATCTGTTTATATGTCAGTAAAAATGTCTGCTAGTTTGGTGTACGCCTGGTGAAGTCTGTAGTTTGTTGTTTGTCGCTACCTTACCTCGAGGGTTGGCTAATAGATTATTAAGTTTTAAACCTAACTCGGGCTTCCCCAAGCTCATAGCAATTCACAACTTCAAGTTGTTAAGAGTCGCTACTAATCTATCTTTTTGGTGGATCGATTAGAAACCCAAGTAAAATATAGAGATTATTAAATTGATTTGGGGACTTGATTAAACTATATTAATCTAACGCCCTTTAGGTATCATTTCATTTATTTTGAAAACATTTATGAAAGTAGCTTGGATTGATTTTAAACTAAGATACTAACATACAATGAGGGATTATACGGGTACGCAACCATTAAAAATAACAATCAATAAATAAAAAAAAAAACAAATTGCAAGAAAGAAAAGCAATTATTTTTGGGATTTTCTATTATCTCAAATTTGAAGACTAACCTATATGACTAGCAAATCCTAACATGCAAACTATATGACGTGCTTGTGATATTTTTAGTATTTTTATTAAAATTCGAATTTATTAAATACCCTAATTAAACTACAAATATCGAACATGCAATGCTATCTAACAATCTTATTAAACCTAACAATGAAACTTTTTGTATTTTTTATAGATAAGGAAAACAATCAATCAAAATATGTATTCAATCGACAGATAACATCCAAGATGTCGATTTTTGAACTGCATAATCTAATTATTCTATCTCAGTACTTACAAGTAGAATCAAAAGATTTTATCATGTTGCGGATTAGGAAATAAATCCTAATTGATAATGCCTAATCACTCAAAGGAATCCGGTTAGATATCGATGATGCAAATTAGGCAATAAATAAAGAATAACAAATCGGATAAATATTATTACCTATTTCGCAAATAACGTTTCCAAATTCGAACTCGATGGACGGCACAGGACGATGGTGGCCGGCGGTGGTGGTTTAGCCAAGGAAGATTGCCTCGCGGTTGCTCGCAACTTGGCTAATGATGGTGTTTGGCCGGGGAGTGCATATCAGTGGTGAACGTCGCGGTGACTCACGGGCTCATGGAGTCGAAAGGCAAGTGGCTGGCACGATGACAACGGATGCGAAGTAGCAGTGTGCAAAACGGACTGCCCGAACTGGGAACCGCCTAGACCGGATTGGACCGGCCAGTTTGATCGGTTCATGAGAGTGTCAGTCCGGTTCCCGATTCCTAAAAGTGAAACCGTCTAAAGTGAAACTGGTGTCGTGGCGGTCAGGACCAGACCGACTACATATATATATTTAATTTCTTCAAAAAAGTTTGTAAAATGTGAACTAAACTTTCCCAGCACCACAATAAATCTTCACTCATCGTCGTTTCCGTCAATACGGTTGAAAATTTGTCACTCTCTTTCGTTGTGATGGGAAAAAAATAAAAAAGTGATATGTTTCATTTCCGGTTCCCCGGTTTCACCTTGGAGCCGGACCGGATCAGAACTGATCATCCTAATACGAACGGATTTGTTCCCACGAATGAGATTGACTGAACAATCTCAGTGGGCGAATGCTAGACTTTCCCGCCGGTTGGTCTTCTTCTTATTCCCTTAGAACCCACTCCTGACGTCCAATATGAGCCGAATGAAAATGCTTGCGGCATTTTCATTCGGCTCATATGGTCTCCCACGTGGTGAGCAGTATGGGGTCAGAGGGGGCCTGCTTGCGGTCCCGTGAGCTGGGGTCGGAGATATCCGACGGGTCCACGGTTCAATCTCAGCCTCATGCACATAAGTCAGAGTCCAAAAATTCTCACACTCTCTCTCTCTCTCGAGATCGCGATCAAATGATAACCGAGCTCTTCGTCTCGATTGATCTCGTGGATATGCGCGCATGTTTAAGGAACGTGATCCCCGACTCGATTATAGCCGGAAGATATCCCGTGATTTGAATCTCAAAACCTAATACATCCAAATCGAGCACGCGTAATGCCTCGTAAGGTTAGATGAGTTTTTCTATCGTTATTATTTTCTTATGAATCATTTCGACCTAGCTAAGGAGAAATAAAATTGTGACGAATGTATCTCATCGAGACTTATATATGGTATTTGTTAGTGCAAATTCGATTTTCTAGTTGGGATTGTATGTTGTGGTTGGAATCGTGGCACGTTTTATTGTTCTGTTCAAGTGAGCAGCATAAAAACAATAGTCAATGAGTCAAAAGATCAGTTTTTTTTAGGATAATGCTGTGAGGTACGAACACAAAGAATTATCACTCGACAAATTAGTATAGTTGAAAAGCAATGAATAATATATCATATTATTCATAATTCATTACGTGAGATTTAAAGAGAAGTTGCGTCCACACTAAAGTATCTTAGTAGTCATGTGCATTATCATGTGGGCCCGTAAGACTATATGGCCATCGTATCGAGTTATTGAGTCGAGTATCATAAGTAGTGTCAATGCAATACTTGTGTTTTTCTTTTAGTGACATGGTAACGGTCCGATTAATACCCCAATGTTCAAAAACCGCACATTGAACTTGCACTTTAGATTCCGACCAAAAAAAACACTTGTATCTTCGATTAGGTGAATTATATAATGCCGATTTCTCGATCAATAACACATACATATATGTCCAGGAATATTTTTTTCCTTGAGCGAAGATATTTGGCAAAATAAAAGAAAAGGTGTATATCCTAACTCGTATTGAAGAGTGCATTCGTTTAGTTAGCTACTACTTCTCTATACTTCTTGAATAAAACTTGCGCGTACGTGCGTACAAAGACTAAAGCTAGGACGGTCCCGAGTAAGCACAGACATCCCCAGATGACAAACGTCGTGCTATAACACTCCATCCCCCTTGCATTTCCCGTCGCCGCCTCGCCGGCTGCGGTAGAGCAACGCTGCGGCGTATCCGAAGACGAAGGACCCAATCGGGATGTTGGTGACAAGGATGTTGTGGTACGTGAGCACCGCCATCATCGGCATCTGCACTGAGGCCATCACGTCCATCTCCGTGGCGACCACCACCGAGCTCTTTGGGACCAAGAACCTCGGCGTGAACCAAGATGACAAACGTTGTGCTATAACACTCCATCCCCATGCACTTCCCGTCGCCGCCTCGCCGGCTGCGGTAGAGCAACGCCGCGGCGTATGCGAAGACGAAGGACCCAATCGGGATGTTGGTGACAAGGATGTTGTGGTTCACGCCGAAGTTCTTGGTCCCGAAGAGCTCGGTGGTGGTCGCCACGGAGATGGACGTGATGGCCCAGTGCAGATGCCGATGACGGCGGTCCTCACGTAGAGCGCCGCCGTGGCAGGGCTGAGGAGCAGGAAGTAGGCACCGACCATTGGTGCCATCAGTACCGCCATTGATGCCGGTCTCGACACCACGTACTTTCTGCTGAAACAGGAAGAAAAAGAAAAATGTTCACTTTATGATTTAGCTTTTGGACCATGACTAAAAGTCTCAGGACGTTAAAGAACGTTGTCCCAAAAGCCAACTTTTCACCTATAAGTGGACGGACAAAAATGCAAGACAGCGATAATTCATACGGCGAATTTCTTCGAGTAATGTAATATTATGTCATCCGATGCAAGCACATACGTGAAAACAGCTTCTTATAATCGACATGCACTGAACAATATCTTATCTTCGTATGCATAGAAATCTCTTATGGAGAACGTGCCTAACATCTCTTGTAGAAATCTCTTCTCTTATCAGGCTTCAGTCCCTCCTGCCTTCAGAGCGGCCTGGCTCGCATGTGTTTTCACTAGCTAGGAAATAAGGACAATTAATGCTGAATGCCATGAAGTCTAGACTTAAAGTCCACACCCGATCAAGCAAGACATTTACGTGCAAATGCCATGGTTGTCCGTCCACTTCAAACTATGGACTAGTTGATGAACTCCACCATCTACCAGGTGAGGCTACGTGGTCGCGATCGACAACTTCCCGCTCCACCGCCAGCTCGCCGTCGGGCTCACCACCATCTACCAAATTTTGAGCGCCAGTGTCTACACGGATATAGTTGACGCCGCACTCAACAAGCGCGGCGTGACTGGGGCTAGAGCTAAAGCATATCTGCTTCTCAATTCAGTCCTGCCAATGGCCGTGCGCATTTTTGCCCGCCCCTGGACCGTCTGCATTGACAACCCGAACTAAAGGCACGGTGGCTAGCGACACGGCCATTGGCAGGACTCAATTGAGAAGCAGATATGCTTTAGCTCTAGCCCCAGTCCCGCCGCGCTTGTTGAGTGCGGCGTCAACTATATCCGTGTAGACACTGGCGCTCAGCCCTTGGTAGATGGTGGTGAGCCCGACAGCGAGCTGGCAGTGGAGCGGGAAGTTGTCGATCGCGACCACGTAGCACACCGTGTTGATCCAGCAGATGCTTTTCCCGGCGAGGACGGCAAGGAGAAACATCCCGGGGTACGAGACCGAGGTGACCTTGCCAGCCACGAAGAGGTACTGGATGCCGTTCCCGGCAAGCCCAAGCAACGCGCCCACCAGGAGGACGAGCCAGAGCGGGAGGTACACCGCAGCGATCCCCGAGAACCACCCCAACAGCTTGCCCGCGTCGGAGGCGAAGGCGAGGTTGTTGAGCTGGACCTGGGAGATGGAGAGGACTTGCTTGAGCTGCGAGGAGTATGCCGGGAAGTTGGTGTTCGTCCCAGCGATGGTCTGGAGCCAGATCACGGCCACGAGGCAGAGCCACTGGGCCAGTGATGGAGGCATCGTTCTCGGTTAATATTTGCTCCAAGTGTTGCGCGCAGGTCCTCCTTTTATAACATCGGGCAGCGACGAGAACAGAAACAGACTGACAAAACAAAAGGACAGAGGAAAGATGGACGACGGCGAGGATCCCGTACAAGGTTTCTAAGGTGGGAGATGGAGGTTGGGGAGGGACAAGCAGAGAGGGATGCAGCCATCGCCTTTGAGCCCCCATTAATGGTTCCCTGAGGTGGGTGTGTGCCAAGTCCAAGAAGGTCTTATATAGTGATCTCTCTTCGGGTCCTGTGCGGTTGGGGCATGACTGAAACGGATTCCCAGAAATCGCGGAAAAAGGGGAACACATTCTTTAGATGCAGCTCGTGTCCGACGCGGCTATTGTGAAGCAGTGCCGGGCGTGACAAGGCTGGGGGAGTCGAGAAGGCTGCAATGCGTGACCGAGGAACCTGCAAGAATTACCTGGACGATTGGGGCTCGCTCATGCCTTCATGCTCCCAGCTCTCAACAACTTTTCTCGATTTTTCTCTTCTGGCCGTGAATTCTCTCCCTGTTTTTCTCTTCACGATTTTCTTTTTCTCTCAATGGTGGCCGTGTATGTCAATTTTTGTGGCCTCCTCTTCATGTCCGTGTACGCTCCTTAAATAGCCAGTATCCCGGGCTCCACTTGATCATCAAAATATATTCTTCGTATCGTGCAAATAATAATATTCAATGGAGTCCAGCTTGCGAAAATTCTTCCCAAACTCTCCGTAAGATATTATCTCCACTCGTTGCCTTTTGCACCCTCCTCCAGCTCAGTGTTTAATATCTTGCTGATCTCGTCTCTCGCTCGCTTTCTTTATTCATCAAAATTTTGATGGATCAATTAACTTCCATAAAGAATAAAGATTTCTCAATTTGCTTGACAGGTGCAACGCCCATGCAATTTTTGAGATTATGGTGAATATTCAACGGGCTTGGCTGAATTCCACATTCTTGTGGACTTAGCACAAATTAACTCGGAATTTCCCTCACTTGAATCCATTCGTCGCCGGTCCAATTTAAATGCAACCATATGAGCCGATGAAAATGCTTCTACTATCTATATGCTATGCCATCTAAATATATTATTTTTTATTTAGGGGTTAAAAATTAATCCGTAATTTTTGTGCAAATATTTTCAAATGGTAAGCCAAAATTTAGGTGTCAACATTGTTTTATCAGTATCTTGTGCAGCAAACTGTAGATGGATTTGGAATTTTTCCACTATGTACAAATTGCATTGGACAGGTGGTAACTTGGCGGTGAAGCTGTGATTGTTTGCTTATTTGAGTTAATGGCTTGATGGTCTATCCTATTTATGCAAAGAAGAACAAAGGACCTAATCGTCATCACCTTCTTTCCGTCGGTGAAAGGACGGGCTTAGAAGTAATGCCAAAGGTGGACCAACGGTCCTCACTCGGCACGGGTTCTCCTAAACCCTTACCTTGCGCGACATTTGAATAGTCAATTTTAGTTTCAATTAATCCTACAAGAATTATAAATGAGGTGTCGCTACTAGCCTAGTGGGGTGGGCTAGAAACCAAATGAGTTATAGGAGCATACCTCACTTCCTACACAACTAGAAATGTAGGGTCGGGGACTTGATTTCGCTAGTTATCTAACTAATGATCTTCGATACCTAAACTTGATTATTTGTTAGTCCAAGCAGTCTTTTTACAAAATTATGAATCATAAGATCTCGCCTGTTAGGTGTCCATGAGATTTTTTATTGGTGTTTATTATGATCCTAGAAACGGTAACCTAACCATTCGGCTAAAGAAAGCAAATCACAACATAGCAAAACAATATAAAAGAATCACAATCAATTGGTATAAGAAAGTAATGAAGAGCGACTAAAAGGGTAAAGCGCAGTAAGGTAACCCGATAAGAGTCGGGCAAATAATATGACACGGCCTCGTTATTAAGCCCGGGACAGCAACCTCCATGAGCTTAGTTCAAATCAAATTCAATTTTCTAAAGAAACTAAATTTCTTATGTCTAAACTAGAGAAAGTATCTGACCAAAAAAAAAACCAGAGAAAGTCATGAATTTTCGTAAGTATTATATAAATGAAACTAAATTAATTGTAATGCTGAAATCTAACAACCTAATAAAGATTTATTTTTCTAACCAATTTTCTAATTTTTCTTCTATTTTTCGGATTTATTTTTATTTTTATTAATTCAGAAATGCGGATAATGCCTAACAAGGATTTCACAAGGACGCAGGCCAGGCCTTTGAGCCCGGTCCGCGTATCACAATCGAGGATGGACTTTGCAAGTCCAAGTAGCAATCACCTTCGACCACCAGACCGACGCCATAGCCATCGTCGCCGGCGAGCTGACTAATATGGAACAATCCGAGATCGGCCACGGTGCACATTAATAACTTTGGCTTGTTCTCCTCTCCGACGGCGGCCATTCAATCACCGCGAGAGCACACCGAGCACCAAAGGATCAAAAATGAAATGATCAGATTCGTCTTCAGTGATGATGAATATGAGTGAGATTAAGTTGGGACTATAACAAATCAATCACTGCTAAGCTATCTACATCAACATGTTGAGCACATTTTCTAGTCAGGCAAAATCTCGGACCAATTTGGATTCATATTCTCAGAGGCATTTTATCAAGCAAGTTATATGCAATCAGTGAAGGAATGACAGAAAAGCACAATGACCCTGGATTAGAGTCCAAATCCAAAACAAAATCAGCCAACGATGTCTGTAATTGCTAAAAAAATACACGCGAATGGATGGAGTCGATTCCAGATTGATTCAGAGTATATCATTTCGGTTCTTTTCGATTCATCAAAACAGAGTATAATCGGGAGTACCTGGTTTATCAGCGACGCTCGATTTGGTGACCGGAGCCCTCACCACCGTCTAGGAACAGAACCACAACTGGCGATGGAAATTTTTAGACGAGATCTCAGATCTTCAGTTCTCACCGCCGCAGAATAAAGAGAAGCAGAGCAAGAAATGCACGTCTCAGGAACGCTGAGGAGCCGCGGCAATGAATGCTTAAATCAATATTCAAATCGTTCAAGCTTTCGGCTACAGCGAGAAGACAACGTAGCTTTGAACTACATCTTCATGGACAGTTAGCAGCGACCTCGTCTGGTTCCCTTCTCCTTTCAACTGCATCCTCTGCGAGGGCAAGCCCAACCCCAACCCCAACCGCCACAACCCCGTCGTTACCCTCAACCTTTCCTCCACCTGCATGCGCGGCCGCTCACTCCTCTCTCTCCTCCTCCGACCTCTGCGCTGCTGCTTGCTGCGCCCTTGAGTCCAACAAAATCTCCAGACTCTGCCTCCTTCTCTTGCCCATCCTTTTACTATGCCGACGGAGACGGCAGCTTCACTGCCACCCTGTATCGCCACTCCATTTCCATACCGAGTTTGCCGGCCGAGCCCTCTCATCCTAGGGCGGAAGGAGAAAGCGTTTAGCAATGACGAGGCGGAGTTCGTGTAGCCGAGATGCTCGACAACCCGAAGCATCGGTACTTCTACTGCATCAGGCTGCAGGGGATATCCGTGGACCGGAAGCATATTCCGGCCGCGGAGAAATTGAGGGCAGTGGACGGCCACGGGAATGGCAGAATGGTGGTCGACTCGGGGACGACGTTCACCATGCTGCCTGCGGGCCTGTACGGCTCGTTGGTCGCCAAGTTTGAGCGACGGCTCAGCCGAGTCCATAAGCAAGCGAGAGAAATAGAAGACAAGACCGGGCTGAGCCCGTGCTGCTACTTCGACAGCGACGCAATGACGAGCGCGCCTCCTGTTACATTGCATTTCGTGGGGCAGGGGTCCAGAGGTGGTGCTTCCCAGGAGGAATTATCTCTACGACTTCATGGACGGCGGCAACGGCAGCAGGAGGCGGTCGCGAGTTGGGTGCTTGATGCTGATGAACGGTGGGGATGAGGCCGAGGCGGAAGGCAGGCCCGAGGCAACCATGGGGAATTATCGGCAACGGGGTTTTGAGGTGGTTTACGACCTGGAGAAGCGAAAGGGTGGGGTTTGCCCGACGGCGCTGCGGGGCTGCATTGACGTTCGGTCTACGGTCGACGGTCACTGGTCAGGGTCATTTGATCCCAGGTGAATAAGATAATTTACTCGTTTTGAGCGTTCCAAACCGGTGGAGGGGAAATGTGAAGTTGGTGTAAAGTTCCTGTTAGTGTACAGCTTCCTTTTGGTACAGCAGTGAAGGAATAGTTGATCAAATTAGTGAATATTTTCAGGGGAAAGTATTGTTGATAGTGTTCATATTGGAATCAATCGGAGAAGTGCAATAAATCGGATCGTATGAAGAGTTTTGATTATAGGACCTAAGAGCAACACATAGGTGAAAATAATAATAATAATAATAATAATAATAATAATAAGGGTGTTATTCATGAATATCTTAAAGACAATAGTCATGATCACTGAACGCGATAATACCGCATATCAATACACTTTGAAAATTGAGGAATGCATGTTTCGCTTACTTCAATAAAAAAATTCGTTATGTTTTCATAGCACAATGGCTGTTTCTCTTTTTAGCTGGCGATACTTTGAATGGTTAAGTTTTTTGTACTAAAATAGGTTTAACAAATGTGCCGACACACTCAGCTCGCTGGCGAAAGATTGAAGTGTTTCGTGAATGATTATTACTCTGTCACCTCTTTTCTTGCCCAACCATCTAAGAGGATGCATGGCCGGTCAGAGCAATCAATTGAACAAGCTCTATGTTGGATTCATTTCGTTCGATTTATCTCGATAAGTGGGTTGTTCGAAATTACAAATTTCCTGCGTATCCATCAAAAATATTTGAGAAAAAATCAATTTTGGAAGCACTTATATGCATATCAAAGGAAAAGGAAATGAATAATTTCTTAGTTCTATCGGTAGTCGAGAAAATTCCTTTGTCGTCATGCACGATTTTTGCATGATTGTGCATTCGGTCTGCAAGATGATGAAGGCTTGAAGTTTGATTTTTTCTTTTCTTTTATTAAGAAAAACTTCTGCCAATTCTTACGCATCTATTCAGTGGTACATACTTCTTTCCATTTTTATGATGTTAATGTAAAAGAGTTTATTGAAGGGGGGAGTTCAATCCGCTCAGCATGGTCCTCTAAATCTTGGAGAATATAAATAAGAGGATTTTACTAAAAATTGTTCCATATCTTCTTCTTTTTCAGTTTTAATGCATTCAACGTCATAGGACATGATTTTTTATTAAATATACTTAACAAATGTTTTCGGACCGCTCAGCATCCACAGAGAAAATGAAAAAAAAAGGAAATTTTTTTTTTTAAAAATCTACTCTACGACTAGTCTTGGCTGTCCTTTATAGGGGGATTGACCCGTGCTTCTCTGCATATGTACGAGAATACTTCTGGCATTTTTTACGGCCCTTCCTGGATTCTTCAGGCCTGGATTAAGCTTTACATTCCTTCAATATTTTCGGATACCAAGTTACCGCTGCCTAGTGGAAACAAAGCCACTCCATATTTTCCAACTTTTTTGGCATGTCCGGTGAGACCTTTGTGGTTCGATTTGAGGAAGCGTTAGTGGCGCGAACAATGAATCAGGAGCCCTGCAGTGCCGCTGGTGAGGATAATCATTAATCAATCTTATAATTGAATAACTGACCAGATTTCTCTCATTAATCGATCTTATAATTCAAAATAATCTCCGCAGAGCCAAGAATCGTCGTAAACGTCATTTATGACTATCCTGAGTCCTCAAACATCTGGAATGGGGATTTTTTTGAACCAGGCGATTGGACCACGTTATTCTTTCTGGACCAACTTTGGTTTGACGATACTCTATCGCAATCAATTTTTGACCAAGGAGTGCGTTGTATCGATTCTTGGCTAGTTTGAATTGATCTTCACTCAAATATACCTTGGAAGTTATAGCCTATTTTCCATTTATTTTTCAAGTTAATAGACTATCGCCAATAATTAGTGTGCTCAAGAAAGTATTGTACGATAGTCTTATCATGGAATAGATGCAAGGCATCGGGATGTCAAAGATGATTGTCCCAAGGGGCAGTTTTGAACATGACCGGGGATAATCTTCGCCAGTGAATCGTCTGGCCGACGAGAACTTGATAACTTGACCAGATAGTGAAGCATTCCCCCTTCAACATTAGAGTAAATGCATTTTTCGTCGCTAATTTGCCACTAATTTTTCAACGAAAATAGAACATATTAGAATAAATGCGTTTTTTTTTAAATTCGTGGAAAAATAGAACATATTAGAATAAATGCATTTTTTTGAAATTCGTGGGAAAATTCGTGGTAGATTGCGCCTTTTAGAGAAAAAGGTTTTGACTTTAGCTTGTGCTGCAATTTTGAGGAAGTGGGATGAGGTATGTGGGAAATGGGTAACTGCTGTTAGGTGATTTTTCTATGAAACTGTGGTCAATTTGATTGGGGAAGTGGCTGTGGTGGGTTGATAAGAAAGGGGATAAGTGTGCTTTAGGTTATTGTTGGTTCTTTTTATTCATGATCCGAAAGGAAATTCTTTATTTTTTGCTTTGATATCTTAATGGGTATTTCAGTTTTGATTACGGACTCCAAATGTTAAAGCTCCTTTTCTAGAGATGGAATGAAATGCAAGGACTGGCTGTCTTTGGTGGCTGTGCATAATGACTGTTGGTTGCTCTCTGTGGCCTTCTACTTTGGTGCTCAACTTAACCGCAATGAGAGGTACTTTCTTTTTGCTTGCACTTGCTGAAGATTGTTATTGCATATGCGGCATACTCAAAGGATCTGTTGAGGTCAGTATTGTGATTCTGGGTGCCTTACGTCCCAACTCAGCTAGGCAGCCAGTTAATCAAGCAATTAAGAGATGCCAACATAAATTTAATGGCGCTAGCTTATTCTAGTAAAAACAACCATTCTGCAATCTTTTCACCAAGTTTGGATTTTGAATTAGGTACAACAACTTGAAGCCATTGGGTTTGGGCAGAAATAAAATGGAGCAGATATGAAACAAATTTGTTTGGGCTGCTTATGTGAAGTGTATTATTTAGTATTTTGCATCTAAATTCCTGTATTTATTGTCAAAAGAATGACTGGTTCCTTCAATCATCATCTCTTCGCTTTGTTAGTCTTTATTGCTGAGAGATCCATAAAGAAAAATGTCCAGTAATGAAACTATTTTCACTGTCCCGGAAAATGGCCTTAGTTCCCACATCTAGAAAGTTAAATAATTATTTGTGTATTGAAACATATTGAATAATAAATATCCATGTGTGGCTTGAATAGATCAACTCTAGTACGACACGGTGTCATGCAAAGATTGCCACAATGTTAAGTACTACCTAGGGTGACTAGAGAAGTTGAGCTGCATTTTAAAAAAAGATGCTTTATATCATGTTCTTTATGTGAACTGTCATACATGTTTCTTGGTGATGTGGAAGGTGAGGCTGTAGATGCTTCTTTTCCCCTTTGAGGACTTTGTCGTCTCATTTTCTTGTGTATGGTTATATTATGGTGATAGCCTCTTGAGGACTCTCTAAGTTATGGGTTCACAGTAAAGGGATTGGGATTACAAGGTATGAAATACCTGGATGTCCTTTTATAATATATATCTATGTATCTTTAGTACCTTGGTCTCCCCTGATTATGTTGGAGAGTGTGGTTTTGGTTTTGAGGAAGTAACTTAAACATATCGAGAACTTGTAGTAGTAGATTGAACCTAAGCTATTCTACATTGTTTTGGCATGATACTTAGTATTCTTGTTTGAAATAACAGGAGGAAGGATGTTGTATCTTTCTTGGGTAAGTTGGCCAATGAAGGGAAGGATGTTGTATCTTTTTTGGGTAAGTTGGCCAATGAAGAGATGGTCAATGCAATGCATGTTCTGCTTTTGTATCTACGAAGTGCTCCAGATGATGAAAAACCTTGGGTTGCCATACTTATGCTGCACTTTGATCTACTAGTATACTTTCTTGAATATTCATTTTGTAGTTTTTGGGATTTTATTGGATTTTGAATTTGATATTTGTAACTTCTCTTCTTGCCCATTTTTGAGTTGCATCCGTAAGATATGCCTCGATGAGTATGACGAAATTTTATGGTGATTAACTTGGTATTGGAATTTGAAGATGCAGTGTGAATTTGCAGATTTAATGAAGCCTACTCTTATTTTTCGGCTATCTATTCCAGAAAATTATGGCTAAGATAACACTTTGGTGTAGGTAGAACCTCGGAAGTACAGCATATACAGAGAGAGGCTGTCGTGGCAATTTCTGCATAAGTTATGCAAATGAGAGGTTGCAACGACATTTCAACTGGCATCTGTTAAAACTGGAGCAGGAAGTGAGCATCACACATGGACCGTATCTTTAGTAGTTTTGTTTAGTATTTATATGCTGGGGATTGTCGCTAAAAGCATGATATTCTTTTTTGATTCATTTTTGTCGTCATTATTTATTATGCAAGATTATTTATTCTCTCATTATGTGTACTATAAAAAAAAATATTTATGTCATTCTTGTGGAAAACGTTGATAAATGTATTTCATTTTCATATTATTATAATATTTTGACATTAAGCGCTCAATGTTAAATATAAATTCTAGAAATTAATTTTTCTTTTAATTAGGTTAAAAATCAAAAAATAAAATATTAGATTATGTTTAAATTCATGGAAAAATTCGGATTTTGCCATGAATTTTGTAATAAACTTTGCCACGAATTGGTTTTCGTCGCAAATTACTAACGAAAATTCAAATTTTTGGCTGCCAAAATTTTTGAAAAAAATTTGCGACGAATTTTTTTGTTCGTTGCTAATTTCGTGGGAAATTCATTTTGTCACGAATAATTAGCGACGAATGTTGTCACGATTTTTGCAACTAATAATTAGCGAAGAATTTTGTAACGAATTTAGTCACGAATTTATCTACAAATTTTGCCACGAATTTGTTTTTGTCGCAAATATTACAAACGAAAAATTAAAATTTTTTGTGGCAAAAATTTTCGTCGCCGAATTAGCGACTAATTTTTTTCGTTGCTAATTTCGTCGGAAATTCGTTTTTGCCACGAAATTTTACCACGAAAATTGAAATTTTTTGTCGCAAAAATTTGCAACGACGATTTTTTGTTCGTCGCTAATTTCGTTGGAAATTCGTTTTCTAACGAATTTTGTTAAATTTTTCGTGGCAAAATTCATGGTAAAACCCTTGTTTTTTTTCGAAAAAAATTCGCGATTTCCCACGAATTTTGTTTTTGTCGGGAATTACCAACGAAAATTGAAATTTTTTGTCGAAAAAATTCGCGATTTCCCACGATTTTTGCAACGAATAATTAGCGACAAATTTTGCAACGAATTTTCCCACGAATTTAGCCAACAATTTTTTTTTTGTCGCAAATTACCCACGAAAATTGAAATTTTTTGTCGGAAAAATTCGCGATTTCCCACGATTTTTGCGACGACTAATTAGTGACAAATTTTGCAACGAATTTTCCCACAAATTCAGTCACGAAATTTGTTTTCGTTGCAAATTACTAACGAAAATTGAAATTTTTTGTCGCAAAAATTCGATTTGCGACGAATTTTTTTTCGGCCCTAATTTCGTGGGAAATTCATCGTGCCACGAATTTTGCCACGAATAATTAGCGACGAATTTATCCACGATTTTTCCAACGAATTATTAGCGACGAATTTTGCCACGAAATTTTGCAACGAACTTTGCCACGAATTGATTTTCGTCACAAATTACCAACGAAAATTCAAATTTTTTTTTGCTAATTTCGTGGGAAATTTTTTTGTTCGTCGCTAATTTCGTGGGAAATTCATTTGCCACGAATAATTGGCGACAAATGTTGCCACGATGTTTCCAACGAATAATTAGCAACGAATTTGGCAACGAATTTTCCAACAAATTTAGCCACGAATTTATCTACGAATTTTGCAACGAATTTTTTTGCGTCGGAATTTACCAATGAAAAAATAAAATTTTTTGTCGCAAAAATTTCCGACGACGAATTAGCGACGAATTTTTTTCGTCGGAAATTCGTTTTGCCACGAATTTTACCACGAATAATTACCGACGAAGTTTACCACGATTTTTGCAACGAATAATTAGCAACGAACTTTCCAACAAATTTTGCCACGAATTTTGCGACGAAAAAATTTCGTCACAAATTACCAACGAAAATTTAAATTTTCTGTCGCAAAAATTTGCGACGACGAATTACCAAAGAATTTTTTTTCGTTGCTAATTTCGTTGGAAATTCGTTTTCCAACGAATTTTGTCAAATTTTTCGTGGGAAAATTCGTTGAAAAACCCTTGTTTTTTTGTAGTGAAAGCACATTACAAAACGCGGAAAACGTGTCTATTCTATACTTGATTCACCGATCGAGAGAAACATATTATGTAAAGGCACATACCTCTTTACCACAGATTAAATGAACCTATTGTAGTCTCGAGAGAGAGAGCGATTCTTTAATTGTCGAGTAAAGTCGCTTTTTGATTTTAAGTGAGTGAGAGTTTATGATAGTGAACCAAATTCACTTACTGAATACAATTTGTGTTCCGGCCTGTACACACGCACTCCCAAAAGCAACAATAAATAGATTAATTAAATTAAGAAAAAAGGGATGGGACAAGAAGGAGATCACATCAATTACGACGTCAGGAGTGAGATGTCACGGATGAGATGCTTTGGACGAGAGGGGGGCTGCTTGCGGTCCCGTGAGCTGGGGTCGGAGATATCCGACGGGTCCACGGTTCAATCTCAGCCTCATGCACATAAGTCAGAGTCCAAAAATTCTCTCTCTCTCTCTCTCTCTCAAGATCGCGATCAAATGATAACCGAGCTCTTCGTCTCGATTGATCTCGTGGATATGCACGCACGTTTAAGGAACGTGATCCCCGACTCGATTATAGCCGGAAGATATCCCGTGATTTGAATCTCAAAACCTAGTACATCCAAATCGAGCACGCATAATGTCTCGTAAGGTTAGATGAGTTTTGCTATCATTATTACTTTCTCATGAATCATTTCGAGCTTACTAGGGAGAAATAAAATTGTGGCGAGTGCATCTCATCGAGACATATATATGGTATTTGTTAGTGCAAATTCGATTTTCTAGTTGGGATTGTATGTTGTGGTTGGAATCGCGGCACGTTTTATTGTCCTGTTCAAGCGAGCAGCATAAAAACAATAGTCAATGAGTCAAAAGATCAGTTTTTTTTAGGATAATGCTGTGAGGTACGAACACAAAGAATTATCACTCGACAAATTAGTACGGTTGAAAAGCAATGAATAATATATCATATTGCTCATAATTCATTACCTAAGATTTAAAGAGAAATTGCGTCCACGCTAAAGTATCTTAGTAGTCATGTGCATTATCATGTGGGCCCGTAAGACTATTTGGCCATCGTATCGAATTATCGAGTCGAGTATCATAAGTCGTGTCAATGCAATACGTTTTTCTTTTAGTGACATGGTAACAGTCTGATTAATACCTCAATGTTCAAAAACCACACATTGAACTTGCACTTTAGATTCCGACCAAAAAAAACACTTGTATCTTAGATTAGGTGAATTATATAATGCCGATTTCTCGATCAATAACACATACATACATGTCCAGGAATATTTTTTTCCTTGAGCGAAGATATTTGGCAAAATAAAAGAAAAGGTGTATATCCTAACTCGTATTGAAGAGTGCATTCGTTTAGTTAGCTACTACTTCTCTATACTTCTTGAATAAAACTTGCGCGTACGTGCGTACAAGACTAAAGCTAGGACAGTCCCGAGTAAGCACAGACATCCCCAGATGACAAACATCGTGCTATAACACTCCATCCCCATGCACTTCCCGTCGCCGCCTCGCCGGCTGCGGTAGAGCAACGCCGCGGCGTATCCGAAGACGAAGGACCCAATCGGGATGTTGGTGACAAGGATGTTGTGGTACGTGAGCACCGCCATCATCGGCATCTGCACTGGGGCCATCACGTCCATCTCCGTGGCGACCACCACCGAGCTCTTCGGGACCAAGAACTTCGGCGTGAACCAAGATGACAAACGTCGTGCTATAACACTCCATCCCCATGCACTTCCCGTCGCCGCCTCGCCGGTTGCGGTAGAGCAACGCCGCGGCGTATCCGAAGACGAAGGACCCAATCGGGATGTTGGTGACAAGGATGTTGTGGTTCACGCCGAAGTTCTTGGTCCCAAAGAGCTCGGTGGTGGTCGCCACGGAGATGGACGTGATGGCCCAGTGCAGATGGCGATGATGGCGGTGCTCACGTAGAGCGCCGCCGTGGCAGGGCTGAGGATCAGGAAGTAGGCACCGACCATCGGTGCCATCAGTACCGCCATTGATGCCGGTCTCGACACCACGTACTTTCTGCTGAAACAGGAAGAAAAAGAAAAATGTTCACTTTATGATTTAGCTTTTGGACCATGACTTAAAGTCTCAGGACGTTAAAGAACGTTGTCCCAAAAGCTTTAGTGTCCGTTCAAATGTAACAGACATTGATCCTCGCTCCAACATTGGAACAAAAGAGCCAACTTTTCACCTAAAAGTGGACGGACAAAAATGCAAGACAGCGATAATTCATACGGCGAATTTCTTCGACTAATGTAATATTATGTCATCCAATGCAAGCACATACGTGAAAACAGTTTCTTATAATCGACATGCACTGAACAATATCTTATCTTCGTATGCATGGAAATCTCTTATGGAGAACGTGCCTAACATCTCTTGTAGAAATCTCTTCTCTTATCAGGCTTCAGTCCCTCCTGCCTTCAGAGCGGCCTGGCTCGCATGTGTTTTCACTAGCTAGGAAATAAGGACAATTAATGCTGAATGCCATGAAGTCTAGACTTAAAGTCCACACCCGATCAAGCAAGACATTTACGTGCAAATGCCATGGTTGTCCGTCCACTTCAAACTATGGACTAGTTGATGAACTCCACCATCTACCAGCTGAGCTACGTGGTCGCGATCGACAACTTCCCGCTCCACCGCCAGCTCGCCGTCGGGCTCACCACCATCTACCAAATTTTGAGCGCCAGTGTCTACACGGATATAGTTGACGCCGCACTCAACAAGCGCGGCGTGACTGGGGCTAGAGCTAAAGCATATCTGCTTCTCAATTCAGTCCTGCCAATGGCTGTGCGCATTTTTGCCCGCCCCTGGACCGTCTGCATTGACAACCCGAACTAAAGGCGCGGTGGCTAGCGCTGCTTTTAGCTCTAGCCCCAGTCCCGCCGCGCTTGTTGAGTGCGGCGTCAACTATATAGACACTGGCGCTCAGCCCTTGGTAGATGGTGGTGAGCCCGACAGCGAGCTGGCGGTGGAGCGGGAAGTTGTCGATCGCGACCACGTAGCACACCGTGTTGATCCAGCAGATGCTTTTCCCGGCGAGGACGGCAAGGAGAAACATCCCGGGGTACGAGACCGAGGTGACCTTGCCAGCCACGAAGAGGTACTGGATGCCGTTCCCGGCAAGCCCAAGCAACGCGCCCACCAGGAGGACGAGCCAGAGCGGGAGGTACACCGCAGCGATCCCCGAGAACCACCCCAACAGCT